GAGCCCTGTCTCAAATTCAGCTTCCTTACCTGTCACTCAGCAGAATCTATTTTCTCCTAAGTGACCAATGACCTTCTTGTTTCTTGCTAAATCCAGGGAACCCATTTCACTCATCATCTCATTTGGCGTCTTGGCATCATTTGACACAATCTTCTCCCTTGGTTTCAATGACACTACTCTTTTCCTTATAATCTTCTTAGCTATTTCTTCACAGTCTCCCTTATGGAAAAAGTGTAGAGCATGGTGCCTGGTGTAAAATATGCATTTAAAATTGGTTTGTTGAGTGAATGATTGAATGCCTAAATGAATGAACAAACAAAATTAGATTATAGTCCCCTACCCACCATTTAAATGTTGGAATTTGCCAAGCTCCAGTTACTGCCTATAGGCTGATGAGTTCCAATTTTATGTCTCCAGCCCAGATCTCTTTCCTGTACTTCAGGCATGCACATGCAACCTCTGACTGGACTTTCTTCTCACTGACACTCCAGACTCAACCTGTTCAAATCAGATCTCTCTAAACTCAGGGTCAGACCTACTTTTCTTTCAGATTCTTCCACAATCTGCCCAATCACCAAGGCAAAAATCTGAATGTCATCCTTGGCCCTATCTTATAGGTCACCAAGTCCCGTTGCTTCTTCCTCTTGAAATCTGCCCCCTTATCTCCAAACACATTGTTCCTACTACTTTTGTTTAGGTCTTCATCAGTCCTCACCTAGATGCCTACAACCACCACTTTATTCAGTGTTTGCAAAATCTCTCTGGAGACAGGAAGCATGTGTTTTTATGTTTGTTAAAACATAGATTCCTGGACCTGCCCCAAATCTTCTGAGTCAGACTATCCCAGGAAGGGACCCGAGACTCTGTATGTTTCAAAAGCACCCCAGATGATTCTTGCTATCAAGAAACTTGGGAAAACACTGTCCTAATTTGCCTTCCTGACTCAAGAGTGGCCTCCCAGTCTACAATCCATGCTCCAGAGCATTGACAGAGTAACCTGTTTAAAATACAGATCTAATCTTATCATTTCTTTGGCTAAAATATTTCCATGGTTCTTCATGGTTTCTATATGTCTTCTATATGTCTATGTGGATAATACCCACATTCTTTAACAGAGCCTTCATATCTCTCCGACCTTATCTTTCAACCTCCTCAGATATGGACTCTACACTCTATCCTTAACTTTTCTCTAAATGCAGCATGAATGTTCTGTCAGACCACTGCACCAGCTGTACGTGCTACCTAGGCCACTCACCTCCCAACCCCTCTATTTATTCATCACACACTGACAGAACACTTATGTGAGACAGACACCGTTCTCAGTACTTTGGAAATCTTAACTCACGTATTCATCATTATAACATTAGGATGGGTAAGTGGTAGGTACTATGATTATCCCCACTCAGGGAGAGAAGTGAGGGACGTTTGCCTGGAGTTAAGCATAGTTTCTGGCAAAACCAAGACAAGCCCAGACAGCCTGGCTGTAGAATCTATGCATTTAGTAGCCATGGTCTAGTTGCGCCTCGCCTTCATCTGGTTAAACTCATTGTTTCAAAGCTCAGCTCATGCATTGATACTTCCTGGAAGCCGCCTTAGATCTCCCAGTCTGATCAGCATTCTGGGCTTCCTTTGTGCACAGCACTTTCAGCACTGTGCAGTTAAAGACTCTTTCTTGTCTCCTAAACCAGACTGTAAGTTCCTTAACAGAGGGAGACACATTTTTTGTATCCCCAAAATCGAGCTCAATGCCCAGCACAAAGTAAGTACTAACCCTATGTTGAATAAAAAAAAAAGAATAAATGAATTAGTGAACAAATGCATATTTTCACTTATAAGGAAGCAGCAGGGAACATTAACAACAGACGATCTGAACATTCTGCCCCTGAATCATCGAGTCATCTGTACATAATTTCATGGGCTTTTCAATTTTTGGCATTGAAGAGATGGCCTACCTTGTATCAGAAATAAACTTTGGTGTCTTCTTACAAATACTAAAAATTTCATGGGAATTCAAATTAAATGCATGATTGGATATTTATTTGTTTAATCTACTCAGTAGATTTCTTTTATTTTTCTGTGTCAAGCGTGAAAGTTAAAACTATTTCTAGACCTTTCATCTTAGCTCAACTTTCCCCTTAATTTCTTCACTCCAAAATGTTGAACAAAACAGGTCCCTTTTTGTGGTTGGAAAGTTTGGCTTTACATAGAACCTTTCAACACACAACTGTCAGCACCTGATTATGGGTCATTTTTTAGCCTCTGACTTTCACTTCCTTCCTTAAATAGGTCTTTCAGATGAATCATCTTCAGCCCCTCTGTGATTATGCAGGGAACAGTTATACAGTATATAAATGAACAGGATGCACTCAGCTCCTTACCTGAAGTTGCTCTGTGCTCTGATTTGGGGGGTTTCATTTTTCATTCAGTAAAAAAGTGATTACTATGTGCTGGATGTTGCGGGAGCCATCAGTACATTAGCACTTCCAACAAGAGTGAGAGGAAGCAAGGGCCGAGAAAAGCTCACATCCACTAGTTTGCAGCCCTGTTTTTTTTAGTTATGCTTTTTTTGGTGAGGAAGATTGGCCCTGAGCTAACACTTTAGCCTTTTAACATTTCTGGTTTGGAGAGGAATTTAGTGGAAAAGGACTTGAGTGAGACTTTGTGTAATATTTGTGCAATTCTTTTTTCTAGGCCCCATGTCATTATTAAAACAATTGTATGTGTGCATGCATATGTATATATATAGATATATATACATGTATATTATACAAATATACACATACATGTATGTAATCAGTCACCAGCACAGTAACAGAGTTCTCTCGCTACTCAAGAATTCATCTCTTAGCCTGTAAGCTATGAATATTTTATCAGATTCATTCCTACAATATACATGCTGATAGTCATAGCTATTTACTTCTTGGATCAATTTTATAAAACATATTTTAGTAAATAATCTTTTTAATGATGGTTTATTGTTTGTGTCACAACATGTATACATGTCCATGAACATTAATATGAAAGAATCCACTTTTTTCCATATGAGACCAAGAAAAATCAAAATACCAAGACCTACAATACTGGAAAATGCTAGAATGGAATAAGGAAAGAGGAAGTTTACAATAGGAATCCTTGTCTTTTATCTTCCGTATGAATGACATCCTAAATATGCATGATCCAGACCTACATTTCTGCAGCTGAAGGCTGTTTCCTGAGTGAATCACAGCTGCATGAAATGTGCAGGAACAGACATACAAAAATGGTTAGGCAGCAGCCCTTTGACTGAAGAATTCGATAGGCAAGAGATTAAAGGAGTATATGCAGGAACTCAGATTTGGTAGGTTTTAAGAAAGATTTTGTGCCTCTATGAGGGTGCAAAAACTACTCATTTAAGTCTCTTTCCAGGCTGCTAAAGAAGATCCTGGCTCTGTGCAGTTTCTTCCCCTTCTCTATCTTCTGAGAAGAGATGTCAACAGCAAGCCATGCTTTTGGCATTCGTAGTGGAGAATCGTTAGAGAACTGACAGAGAGAGCGATGCCTGCGAGGCGGTAGGAAGAGGGGAGGGGCTTCGAGTCGATTATGACAAAGAGCAGGAGAGGGTGAGCCGAGGAAAATGAAGACAGCCCAAACTGGAGGGAGAGGAAATGGCTCAGAAAATAAGCTAGGAGTGAGAATAGCTGTGGGGTGTGAAGGCAGCTCGTGAGAAAGAGAAAAGGGGAATTTTGAGGAAATTTTCTGAGAGCTATTTGTACCCTTCATGGTATTTGAGAAATACAAGTGAAGTATTTGAGACATTCTAAAATTGCTATTGGTAGCTAAGTTCCTTTGCACACAGTACTGCTGTGGAAGGGAGCTACAGGGCTCGCGACTTTATAAACATTACACATTTTACAGAGAGATGTGAAAACCACCCTCACCAGCATCTGACCAGCAGGATTTGCTCTCTGGAGGACTTGATAGAACTCCTTGGAGTCTTTAGATTGACTCATTCTATACTCAGAGAATATTGTCGCTTCTCCTTTCCCCATCTTCATTTACTGTTATTTGAATCCCTGTTGGTATACAAATAACGTACTAGACTTTAATGTGCTTGATGCCAGGAACTGCCCTTTTTACCTTTGTATTCCATGTTATATCCAGCAGGACACCAGCCACATGATTAGATATTCAATTAATTAATCAATCAGTTAATTGTAGGAAAACCATAAAGTTTTGCTAAATAAAATGAGTGAAAATGCATGAAGAGAAAGCCTGGTAGCTTTGGTTTTGTTGGTGGTATTTCAATTCTCGTCATTTTCTTGTCAATCTTATCAAATATTCTGATTCAGCAATATATTTGGAATTTAAGAACTATCGTGCACACTTGTCACTAGTGATTTAAATACTACAACTTTGCTTACTGACCTTACCAAAGTGTCCTCATGTCAGCAATATATTTGGAATTTAGTGGCTACTACTACACTTTTGACACCTCAGAAAATATCACTAATTTAAGAGACTCTTCTGCTAGAAGGTAGTTATATAAGTAGCATTAATAACACAAGCATTTTCCACCATGTCTAAAAATTAACTACAAAATAGGTCCATTTTAGTTCCCTCAATGTAATGGAGGTCCACCTGAGATCACAGCTACAGTTCCCACACTAGCCGTTTTGATTGTCTGGATATCTTTGTTGTCTCACTAGCTACTAATCATTTACATAAAATCCTAACATAATGAAATTCACCAAGCCACCTCTGGATCCAAAATAGTAGTGCCCTGTGAGTAGGATATAATACTAAGGCTTAATGGCTAGGAGGGAGGATCTATTGAAACTCTGGATTGAAGGCACTGTGTGCTGTAACTATAGGGAGTTAAAAAGGAATAAAAACATTTGTTCTCTGACAACAATGAACTTACAGACAACATGCTCAAAATAAGTAACTGTGATATAAAATGACAAACATTTTTTTAAAAATGCACGTACACACACATTTCTGTCATGCATTCCCAAACTTACATTTCAATTGTGTGGTTGCTAAGTGTCCACATTGCCAGATAGATTGGTGTATCACCAAGTAAAGTAGAAGAGTCAAGCTGAGAAGACAGGTCTGGAAGAGGTAGCATTTACTAGCTGTGTGACCTATGTTAAGTTGTATGGCCTCTCTGAGCCTCCATTTTTCATCTGTGAAAAGGAGTAAATGTCTACCTCTTGAGTGGGTTATAGAGAGAAGAATGAGGTAACATGTGGAAGAGCCTAGCAGAGAGCGCTCTGTAACCACTCATTCTCTTTCCACATTGCATTTTACTTTGATTTCTGACTGCCAGCTCATGGTAAAGCCTGCACCTTCTTAACAGTTCTGCTTCTTAGATACCAAGACTAAAAAACAAAACAAAACAAAAAAAACAAAAGCTTCTTTCTGATTGCCATATACCAAGCGACTCTATATACTGTTCACTACAAAAACATGAAGCCATACACACAAGTAACAAGGAAGTAGCATTAAATATATTACTAATGAGAGCTATTCAGATGTATGTATAAATACTTAGCTATTTAAAAGATACAAAGGGCAATGAATATAAAGGAGAGGAGGTTTCTGGGAAGATTGTAGAATTAGAAGATGTAACTTGAAAAGGTGTTATGAGTAAGATCTGACTAAGCAAAAATTTTATAAAGCTAAGTCTTTTATTATGATATAATACACACTTAAAAAAGAAAATTTGGAAAGCATGGAAATACAAAAGGAAAATCCACAAAGCCAGCCATAAACTCATATCATATATAAACTCTGTTAACATTTGGGGTTTCCTTCCAATGTTTTTCTTCACATATAATCTATGTTTCTACCTATTTTGAATTATACTATCTATATGGCTTTGCATCTTGCTTTTTTCTCTGAGGTTGTGTAGTACGCATTTTCCATGCTAGTAAACATTTTCTGAAATCATGATTTTAGTGATTTTTAATGGCTGCCTGTTGTCCATAAGATATATGTACTATAACTCTGAATTTCACCACTTACCTATTATTAGTCCTTTATACTGAGCCCAACTTTTCAGTTTTAGCAGAATTTTAGACAATGAAAATGATGTACTTTAGTTAAAAATAACATTTTGACCAACATGACATAAACCTTACAGACCAGACAATGAGGAGAAAGAGATGAAGGGAAACAGCTCAGAATGGAAACCCAACACAGAATTATGTTATCTTTAATATGCTGTCAGATAATATAGCAATGCAATTGTACTTCTAAGTAAATTGAAAATAAGGAAGTCACAGAGCGTTTACTTACACCAAGGAATAGATAGGAATTAAACAGCGAAAATGGCTATGTTCTTTCCAAAACACTGATGAATGTGAGACTTGAACTGGCTTTTGCTGTCACAGTTCGTCTCTGGAAAGTGTCCTCTGTAATAATAAGATGCCATATTTAATAAACATCAAATGGCAGAATGACATCTGGTAATAAAACAGATAAGGAGCCCATCTCATGCACAGGTTGAGCTCAAGTGAACTCTGGCATAACTACCAAAGAGTACAAGGTGGGTAGGCAGAGGGGATAAGGACAGAAGGGAAGATTTCTTCCACTCAAAACCATACAACTCCATCTAATCAAGTCTTTCCTGGTGGTCTTCTCCAGCGGCTCCCCTCATGACTAGCGCTACACACTGTAGGCTGACACACACTGTCACTTCATGACTCAACTAACTTATAACAGGATAAGGACACTTACAAGAACAAATTCAATACTCATGATTGTCATCCCTCTATTCCTCTTTTGTAGAACATGGAGTCCCTTCTGATATTCCCCAGACCCTCCTCCTTTGTTACACCAAAACTTGAGCAACAATGGATTGTGCAATGAAGGATTATAAAATAGGAGCAGAAAATTAACTAAGGAAGAAGATGGAACCAGATTATAGGAATACATTGTACAGATAGCCTGAAGTCAGAGGTAAACAAAAGCCAAAAGACAGAAGGAAATGGGGAGGCAAAGTCAGACAAAGAATCAGAAACTAGAGAGATCAGGGCGGGATAAAACAGTAGTGCAGAAAGAAGTCAACACTTCAGGAGGACCAGGGGTCACTGCAGAGCTTCAGAGACAGAGTGTCTTAAAACTGAAGTTAGACCTGCCTCAAACGAAGGACACGTTTACTCCTCCTGATCAATCAAGATCCACAGATTGGCATCCTGGACGTAGAACCAAGAGATTAAGATGACTGCATTGGGTTTGGTAAACTAGCACCCCATTCAACTCCCTGAGTCCCAGCAACTTGTCTGCCCTTGGGGTTGGGTCCTCCTGTCCTATCTTCCCCACCTCCTATTATCCAGTGTCACATCAGGTCAGACTCCCTTTTGATTAATAGCTTTGACTCAAGCTACATTCTTCACAGGATCCTTTGGTTTCTGCTTGAAACTGATGTTCCGAAATTGCCTCCTTCACTCGTGCAAGAGACATCTCACTCCTTTCTGTGGGGAAGGGACGTGTGCAGGGCTGTAGGGAAAGAGAGCCCTGGAACAAGACCTATATGTCCTCAGCTCATGTTGGACAAGGACAGATGCCCCTTTCCATTCCTTCCCAAGGTTGAGAGTGGCAGGATGAGTTTGAGCTGCTCAAAGCCCTTCTTCCTATTTCCTCTGGATTTGAGGGAGATGGGGATACAGGAAGCAATATAGAGAAGCCAGTACCCCAGGGACATCCAAAGCCCTGAAAATTCCTTCCAAGAAACACCTCCCCTCCACCCCGACTCTGGGGCAGGACTGCATGGTTCTGCATTCCTCCCTGGGCCCGTATGCAAGGCATCAGTTTGCCTTAGCTTCTCTCTCTCCATAACCCTTTTTGGGAACTCTGAACCTGATCTGCTCATTCTTTCTCTAGCCTTTTAGTAAAAACAAGGAGCACTTTTGAGCTCTTTCTATTCCCCAAGCATAGCTGAAGCTTTCCTCCTTATTCCATATCTTTTTATTTTAAAATTTCTCATTTTGTGGATTCACAAAACATGTTTACATGTGAAAGACAACCTCAAGGGGATTCTGGCACATGTTTAAAACTCTTAAGGAGGAGTATTTACATTTGAGCATGAATAATAATGTAGTTCATATTTATTGAGTCCCTACTAGACGCCAGGAATTCCCGCTAAGTGCTTTATATTATAAATTATACACTATATATGATATCATTGATTCGTCCCAACATTTCCAACATATCATGATTCCTTCCAATACACTTCTTATTCCCATTTTACAGAAGAGAAAATTGGAGATCACAATAAGTACATGACTGAGTCAGGACTCAAGCCCAAACCCGTGTGCCCACAACATCCATGCTCTGGACAATATTCTTATGCTTTCTTGCTCTGGACAACTCTAGTATTGCTGTCTTTGGCATTTATTTGGCAAGGAGGGTGGCATTTTCCAGCATCCTGAGATGAAGACATAGCCAGAACACAATATGAGAGCTCAGTCACACAATAATTTAGCTGCTCTGAAATGGTTGTATAACATTTGCTAGACTCTACATTTCCTGACTGATCACTTTTTTAAGTGGGAATGGAAAGCAAAAAACTGTAAAATCATCCCTTGACTGCCATCTTGGGAAATAAAATGGCATTTTAAATAATCTTTCAATTTCCTTTAACGCCCTGTCATTGGAATGAAAGGTGCTGTTTCCACCAAAAAGCTCCTTTCACTTCACTGCCCCTCTCAAGATCAGCTTTCTTGTCTCTTACATATAAAATTGACACAACAAATAACAAGCGTTGGAGAGGATGTGGAGCAAAGGGAGCCCTCATACCCTGCTGGTGGGAGTGCAAACTGGTGCAGCCACTATGGAAAACAGTATGGAGATTTCTCAAAAAATTAAAAAAAAAAAATACCATATGACCTAGCTATTCCACTACTGGGTATTTATCCAAAGAATATGAAATCAACAATTCAAGAGATTTATGCTTCCCTATGTTGGTTAAGGCATTATTCACAATGGCCAAGACGTGGAAGCAACCCAAGTGCCCAAAATACTACTCAGCCATAAAAATGCAAAATCGTGCCATTTCTGACAACATGGATGGACCTCAAGAGTACTATGCTAAACAAAATAAGTCAGACAGAGAAATACAAATACCACGTGATTTCACTCATATGTGGAAGATAAACAAAAACATGGAAAAGGAGAACAGATCAGTGGTTACCAGAGGAGGAGGGGGTAGGGGGAGCACAGAAGGAGTAAAGAGGCACATATGTATGGTGACAGATAAAAACTAGACTATTAGGGGCTGCCCCAGAGACAGTGGTTACGTTCACCCGCTCTGTTTCGGCGGCCCTGGGTTTGCCAGTTTGGGTCCCAGGTGTGGACCTAGCACCGCCCATCAAGCCATGCTGTGGTGGCATCCCACATAAAATAGAGGAGAATTGGCACAGATGTTAGCTCAGTGACAATCTTCCATACACAAAAAGAACCAAAAACTAGACTATTGGCAGTGAGCACAATACAGACTATACAGAAACTAACATGTAATAATGTACACCTGAAATTTACACAGTGCTATAAGCCAATATGACCTCAATAAAAAAAATGATACTAAACCACTTGGCTGGACCTCAGGACTCTACAAGCTCCTCCCGCAGCCTTCGTTGCCTTTCTCTCTACTTTTGAGTTCTCACTGTTCCTGGGGTGCCTGCCGTCCCTCACGCACAGCTCGTTTCCTGCTTCTGCCCTGGCAGAACCTCCCACAGCAAGGACCACTTCACTCCTCTCCTCCACCACCCCTTCCCCGTCCACTCTTATCAGTCCCTCACTCAGCACCCTCCTCAGTCATACTTACTTCATCAGTGTGCTACTTTGTAAACAGTCCAAAGCCCATTTTATATACATGGATTGTGTGTCTCTCCAGCCAGAAAGTAAGGTCTTCGGGGATAAAGATTATATTTTTCATATAATGCAAGAGTTAACTGCACGGACACTGGCTTCAGGAAATAGAGATTGTTCAGTGCCTGGCACAAGGAAGCATCCATGTATTATAACTTCCGTATTAATATTAACAATTCTTGTTCTTTGTGCTCTGTTCATAGAAACATATATACATATTTAAAAGATGTTGAGATATCATGTAAACTCCAGTATCCAGGGCACAGGGTGAGACAGGAAGCCAGAGAAGACTAGTTCACTTTAGAGTAGTAATTCTCAACTGGGGACAAATATCTGGAGACATTTTTAGTTGTCTCAACTTTGGAGGTTCGGGAATATTACTGGCATCCAGTGAATAGAGGCTAGGAAGGCTACTAAAACCTCCTGAAATGCACAGGGGAGCCCTCCACAA